AAGAAGAAGTCATCTAGGTTAAGTTTTGTAGGATTATGGTATCTTTAGAACTAGCTCCTGCCTTACTTTTAAAGTAGAAATTTCTGAATTAAATGATCTGTAATCATCTATGATGAGTATCTTACATAAGTGATGTGTGGTCACTGCTAAAGCTAAATGAGAACACTGCATCAATTGGTTTCACCAAGTAGAGTTCATGGTGTAGACTTCTTAGTATTCCAGCCAAACTACCACACTAGCTTGAGAAAACATCACATTTCTGGGTATTGTAGTAGAACATATCTCAAGTGTTTCTTGGAGTACAGAACAAAAATACAAGAAGGAACAGCACTTGAAAGGTTTGAGAGGATAATGTAGGGAAAATACATTTGCATACCTAATACATTATGGGTACTTATTAGCATGTTGAACAATGAAAGATAACCCAGGTTAAATGTTAACAGGATGGACAAATACTTAGCTAGATCAAGAAAAAAAAAAAACAAGAGAAGTTCAAATAACTAAAATCAGAAATGAAGAAGGATGACATTAAAACCAATGCCACAGAAACTAAGGGGAAAAAAAAAGATTTAGGAGAATAATGCTAAAGAGTGTATGCCAACAAACTGGATAACCAGGAAAGGGATATATTGTTAGAAATAAATACCCTTGGGGCATCTGGGTGGCTCAGTGGTTGAGAATCTACCTTTGGCTCAGGTTGTGATTCTGGGGTCCTGGGATCAAGTCTCACATCGGGCTCCCCATGGGGAGCCTGCTTCTCCCTCTGCATAGGTCTCTGCCTCTCTCTGTGTGTCTCTCATGAATAAATAAATAAAATCTTAAAAAAGAAAAAAAAAGAAATATGTATTTTGTGTCAAGATCAAATCAAGAAACAGAAAGCCTGATCAGATATAAAATACTAAGGATATTTGTTCAGGGATGAGAAACCTCCCAACAAAGGAAAACCCATCTGTGATGAAGCCTACCAAATAAAGAGGATTAAACTAATATTCCTCAAACCCCTACAGAAATCTGAAGAGGAAGGTGTATGTGTGCTCATTCTATGAGACCAACATTACCCTCATATGAAAACCAGGCAAAAACACTACAAGAAAACTATATATTGATATCTATAATGAGTATGGAGGCAGAAATACTCAAAAAAATACTAGCAAACTGATTTTGACAGCGCATTAAAAGCAATATATGCCATCACCAGGTGGAAGTTATTGCTGGAAGGCACGGATGGTTCACAACATACAAAAAAAAAAAAATCACTGTGATACACCATATCAACAAAGTGAATGACAAAAACTATATAATTCTATCCACTGATGTGGCAAGAGCATCTGACAAAACTCAACACCTTTTCATGATACCAACACTGAAACTGAGAAAAAGAAAAGCAGGTTGACTAAAACTGCCTCAACATAACAAAGACCGTACCTGAAAAGCCCACAGCTAACATCATACTTCACAGAAGGTGAAAACTCTTCCTCTGAGATCAGGAATAAGATAACAGTCCTACACATAGTGCCAGAAGACCTAGCCAGAGCAATGAAGCAGGAAAACGAAGACACATCCAAACTGTAAAGGCAGAAAGTAAGTATCCCCATTTGCAGAAGACGTGACCTTATAAGTAAAAAACCCTACAGGTTTCAAACACATAAAAACTGTTAGACCTGGTAAAGAAATCCAGCAACACTGGAGGACACAAAAATCAACATGCAAAGTCACATTTCTAGATATTAACAATGAACAATCTGAAAAGAAAGTTAAAATTATTCCATTTATAACACATCAAAAAGGAATATACTCCTAAGATGGTGAAAGACTTGTACACTGAAGCGACAAGTCATTGCTGAAAACATTAAAAAAGAAGATACAAATAAATGGAAAAACATCCCATGTTCATAAACTGGAAAATCTGATATTAAAATGCCCATACTACCCAAAACAATATGCACATTCAAAGTGATCCCTACCAAGATCCCAAGCATATTAAACACAGAAAACATCCTAAAGTTTAAACAGACACTCAAGGGACTCTCAACTGCCATAAAAATATTGAAAAGAGATAATAAAAGTTGGAGGTCTTGAACTCCTTGACTGAAAACACATTATAAAGCTATAGTTATCAAAGCAGTGCGGTACAGGCAGGAAGACCGACAGAACAGAACAGAAAGCACAGAAATAGACTCTTGCACAAATGCTTTAAATAATCTCTCTTTTTTTTTTAAGATTTTATTTCTTCATGAGAGACACAGAGAGGTAGTGACACAGGAAGAGGGAGAAATAGGTTCCATGCAGGGAGCCTGATGTGGGACTCGATCCCAGGACCCCAGGATCACGCCTTGGGCCGAAGGCCACCTGGGCGTCCCGTGGTTTGAATATCTTCAACAATATGCCAAGACCGCTCGAGAGCATAAGGCCGGTCTCTCCGACAAATTCCCACGAAATTGGGGATACTTAGGATATCCACAGGCAAAAGACTGAGGTTTGACATACAAAGATTAATTTGAAATTAATTAAAGACCTAAAGCTGTAACATTCCTGGAATAAAACATAGGAGGAAAACTTTAGGAAATTGGATTTTATACTGATGTCTTGGGTAGAACACCAAACACTCAGACAACGAGAGCAAACAGCCAACTGGGACTGCATGAAACTTAAAAAATCTTGCACATCAAAGCACGCAAGAGGATGAAAAGGTAACCTATTGAAATAGGAAGAAAAAAATATTTATTTGTACACTGATAAGTGTCTGATGGGGTTTATCCAGGAAACATAAAGAACTCCCACCAAATAACAACAAAAAAGGGACCCTATTTTAAAAAATGGGCAAAAGACTTAAGACAGCTCTCCAAAGAAAACACAGAAATAGTTAAAAGCATATAAACTAAGGTTCTCCATGATTCATCATTAGAGAAATGCAAATCTGAACTACAATGAGTTTTTACTTCGTACATCTGAGAATGCCTACTAACAAGAACAGCCAAAAACCACAGAAAATAAGTAAGTGTCGGTGAAAATGTGGAGAAACGGGAACACTCGTGGACAGTTAGAAAATACTAGGGTGCAGTCACTCTAGAACACAGTAGGCTGGCTCCTCAAGAGATTGCAAACGGAACCACCATACGCTCCATGAGCCCGCTTCCGGGTACACGAGCACAGAAACTGAAAGCACGGTCGCAGAAACGTCTCCGTATTCGTACGTGGGTCCATAGCAGCATCCTTCGTAACAGCCAGGAAGAGAAAGGACTCCAATGAGTAGCAAGAGACGAATGGACACACACAACGTGATCTAGCTGTACCGGGGTGGGGAAAACGGAAGACAATCCTATTTCATGCGACAACATGAATGAACCTTGAGGACGTGGTAAGTTCAAACAGCCAATCCAGAAAAGACAAATCTTGTATGAGCCCCACACACACACACACACAAAACGAGGTACGTACAATAGTCCAGTTCACACACACAGAATGCAGAATGATGGTGCCAGGGGCTGGAAGGAGGGCCGAATGGGGAGTGAGTGGTGGACGGGGTCAGAGTGCCTGTTTTCTAAGATGAAGAAGTTCTAGAGAAGGGAGCTGGGGGCTGTGACCCGACAGCATGACGCTACGTGACACCACCAAACTAGACACCTAGAGATGGATGAGGCGGTCAGTTTTACCAGGTCTGGTTTCTACCATGATTTGAAAACTGAGCTGTATGGACGTGTTTCCATCATTAAAGGCTGTCGCGATAGCTCCGTGTGCAAAGGGTCCAGGATGGCAGCGGACAGAGCTCGTGCCCGTGCCCGACATTCAGATTTGTCTGTCATCCAAGCACGGCGCACGTATGTGGTTTCTATGTGACACAGGCAGTGGTACCAGCAGGTCGTTTACAGGAAATTCTCTATTCCCAGGGGATATTCAATCTGAACTTTTGGATGCATGCGTAAATATTTTTTAAACACACATGTTTCAAAACTATGACTCACAGGAATACAATTGTAAATACAAAATTGGGATCCCTGGGTGGCGCAGCGGTTTGGCGCCTGTCTTTGGCCCGGGGTGCGATCCTGGAGACCCGGGATCGAATCCCACATCGGGCTCCCGGTGCATGGAGCCTGCTTCTCCCTCTGCCTGTGTCTCTGCCTCTCTCTCTCTGTGACTATCATAAGTAAATAAAAAAAAAAAAAAATTAAAAAAAAAAAGAAACTTTAAAAAAAAAATAAAATAAAAATTAAAAAGTAAATACAAAATTATGGCTGTAACTGCACTTTTTTTTCCCCCCTGTCCTTGCACCATTAATTCCAAAGACAGAGTATTCACCTTTCTCCCTGGAAGACTCTTAAAATAGCACTCCATTTTTAGGCATCTTTCAGCCCTGTAATCTAGAACATTCTCGACCTTCTGACTTTTAGCAAGAAACAGCAGACAACTGAGTTCTGATCTATCTTCACTTAATAAGCCCCAAGGGAGAAAAGTCATCTTTGCTTTCAAAGGAAAACAAGTGAAGAAAGGGGTGAAGGGCATGTAAACACACGTGTTGAAGATGAATTATGCTCTTAACTTAAAAAAAAAAAAAAAAGAAAAAATAATAAAAAGAAGGTGGTTTGGGAAGATTTAGCTTGCTTATCATCAATTTGCTCACGTTTAAATATTTGCTAAAATAATCTCGTGTCTCATTTTGAACAGGAAAAGGCAAAGCCACCTATCGGGCCTTGATGCGATTCCGTCGTGAGTGTGGTACTGGTACAACACCGGAACGAGCACAGTTCACACGTTTTTGGACCTCGGGACTCGGTGAAAGGGAAGGAAGCCCTTGGAAAGACCAGATGGAATCACAGCATAGGATTAAGCAAACTCTCTCTGGAGTACCTGTGAGCCTCAAACGAGACGAGATTTTCCTGAGAAGCTATCTATCAAGACAAAGGAAGACACAAAAGCAAGCCCGGCACGGGCCGGTGACCAGGATTTACAAGAATACCGCAAAGGCGCGCGGATATAATCCCGTCACACGGAGGGGCACGTACCTGGCATCAGAGCGGCCGTGGGGAATAATTCTTTCAACTTCATCTGGCTTTCGTCCACCAGCTCCTCTTTGGACATGGGGAGCTGCAGGACGTCTATTACGATCTGGGCCGCCTCCATTGCCTTTTTCCCCATAACAAGGGACTTGACATCCCAGCTGTATTTCTTTCCGTAGCGATCGCATATTTCCTGGAACACCACTGAATAGAGCCGTTCCGTATCTGCAGAAACAAAGACAGGGCGACGTTTAGGGGTGTGTGCTATGCCCCGGGTCTCTACTAGGTACATACGTGTCTGTGATGCAGGCCATCTGCGCGGACATCTATGCAAATACCGGAAATGTCGCAGGTCATTGTGACAATGCTGTGCTGCAGTTGTGTTTGCAGCTGTGATCTGGAAAGTGAAGAACTGGGAAAGAAACGAAGCCCATTTTATTGTTGATAACTCTTTGATACAGACAAGTGCATGTGTGAGCCCAAATGTGCACTTGGGGCAGCGGAAGCCGTGACGCCATCACCGGGTATTCAAGCTGCCGGGAGCCAGCTGCACACAAGGGTCAGTGTGGGCGACCCCTCCTGGCAGGGACACTTCCACCGCCCCGTGACAGTCCGCACAGAAGCGCCTGGCCACGGGTGCCGCTGCAAAGCTCCCACGTGAGAACGCACCAGCTCTGGACAGGCTCGTGCTCTGCTGCGCTCACACTCAGAGCACCTCTCACACCAGCTGTGTATGCCGGACGGGGGCTTCCCCACACCAAGCAAGTCTGTGATGCCAGCGGGTGTCCTACAATTCCACACAGTTGTCACACCGTACACAGGGTCAGGTCCCAGCCCATGGGCAAAGGGCTCTGCCCCAAACCATAAGGAGACATCAGCTCACCCGTGAGACGAGGTGTTATCCCAAAGACAAGTACAAAGAGTGGGCTGAGGATGTAGGTAAAAAGGAACCCTCGTGCACCGTCGGTGGAGATGCAAACCGGTGCAGGCTCTCTGGAAAACAGCATGGAGGGTCCTCAAAGAGTTAGGAAGAGAGCTAGTACACAGGCCAGCAATCACACTACTGAGCGGTTGCCCGAGGAAAACAAAAGGCTAATTCAAAAACACCTCTGCACCCCCACGTTCACCCCAGCTTTATTTTCAATACCCAAAGACAGGGAAGCAACGTAAGCGTCCATCAACAGATGCGTGGATACAGACATGCTATACACAACACAATACTGCTTTGGCCATAAAACAAATGAAATCTTGCCACTGGTGACAATACAGAGTGACCTACATGGTGTCGTGCAAAGTCACAGTAAGACACAGAATCGACAGATTCCTTCACATGTGAAATTTCAAAGACAGAACAAAGAAAGTAAACAGTCTTTAACACAGAAAACAACGTGGTGGCCGCCAGAGGGGCGGCGAGGTGAGAGGATGGGTGACACAGATGAAGGGGACTCAGAAGTACGAGCTCCACTTATGAAATGAGTCTTGGGATAGAGAGGACAGCACAGGTAACAGAGTGAGTACGGCTGCGATAACTGTGCAGGGTCACCCAGGCCACCTGGCTGGGCCCTCTGTGGTGCACCTACGCTAACTGGTCAGGCCCTGTACGTGGACACACACCAACGGGATGAGACCCCATGGTGGGTCAACACCAACTGACAGACCCTGCGTGGTAGAACCATGCTACTGGACAGACATTGCAAGGTGGACCTAGGTGATTCGGACAGGCCCCGCGTGGTGGACCCATGCCTACTGGACGGGACCCGCGTGGTGGCCCCATGCCAAATGGACGGACCCCCCGCGGTGGACCCATGCCAACTGGACAGGCCCCGCGTGGTGGACCCTGCCAACTGGACGGGCCCCGCGTGGTGGACCCTGCCAACTGGACGGGCCACGCGTGGTGGACCCATGCCAACTGGACGGGACCCGCGTGGTGGACCCTGCCAACTGGACGGACCCCGCGTGGTGGACCCTGCCAACTGGACGGGCCACGCGTGGTGGACCCATGCCAACTGGACGGGACCCGCGTGGTGGACCCTGCCAACTGGACGGACCCCGCGTGGTGGACCCTGCCAAATGGACGGACCCCCCGCGGTGGACCCATGCCAAATGGACGGACCCCCCGCGGTGGACCCATGCCAACTGGACAGGCCCCGCGTGGTGGACCCATGCCAACTGGACGGGACCCGCGTGGTGGCGCCATGCCAAATGGACGGACCCCCCGCGGTGGACCCATGCCAAATGGACGGGCCACACGTGGTGGACCCATGCCAACTGGACGGGCCCCGCGTGGTGGACCCTGCCAACTGGACGGGCCACACGTGGTGGACCCATGCCAACTGGACGGGCCCCGTGTGGTGGCCCCATGCCAACTGGACGGGCCCCGTGTGGTGGCCCCATGCCAACTGGACGGGCCCCGCGTGGTGGACCCATGCCAACTGGACCGGACCCACCTGGTGGACCCATGCCAACTGGACGGGACCTGCGTCGTGGACCCGTGCCAACTGGACGGGACCCGCGAGGTGTACCCATGCCAACTGGACGGGACCCACATGGTGGACCCATGCCAACTGGACGGGACCTGCAAGGTGTACCCGTGCCAACTGGACGGGACCCGCGTGGTGTACCCATGCCAACTGGACGGGACCCGCGAGGTGTACCCATGCCAACTGGACGGGACCCACATGGTGGACCCATGCCAACTGGACGGGACCCGCGAGGTGTACCCATGCCAACTGGACGGGACCCACATGGTGGACCCATGCCAACTGGACGGGACCTGCAAGGTGTACCCATGCCAACTGGACGGGACCCGCGTGGTGGACCCGTGCCAACTGGACGGGACCCGCGTGGTGGACCCGTGCCAACTGGACGGGACCCGCGTGGTGGACCCGTGCCAACTGGACGGGACCCGCGAGGTGTACCCGTGCCAACTGGATGGGACCCGCGTGGTGTACCCATGCCAACTGGACGGGACCCGCGTGGTGGACCCATGCCAACTGGACGGGACCCACGAGGTGTACCCGTGCCAACTGGACGGGCCACGCGTGGTGGACCCATGCCAACTGGACGGGACCTGCGTGGTGGACCCATGCCAACCGGACGGGACCCGCGTGGTGGACCCGTGCCAACCGGACGGGACCCGCGTGGTGGCCCCATGCCAACTGTACCCAAGCCGCCAGAGGGGAGGCGGGGTGAGAGGATGGGTGAGACAGATGAAGGGGACTCAGAAGTACAAGTTCCACTTATAAAAAGAGTCTTGGGATAGAGAGGACAGCACAGGTAACAGAGTGAGTAAGGCTGCGATAACTGTGCAGTCACCCAGGCCACCTGGCTGGGTCCCGTGCGGTGCATCTATGCTAACTGGTCAAGCCCTGTAGGTGGACACACACCAACTGGATGAGCCCCCATGGTGGACCAACGCCAACTGGACGGGACCCGCGAGGTGGACCCATGCCAACTGGATGTATTGTGGCGTCATTTAAATGGATAAAAATGTAAAAATCACTATGACATACACCTGAAACTAACAGGATATTGGTTTTGGTTATCCTGAACGTAGAAGGTGCTCACTCCCACAGGACTGCTCACCATCCCCACTGCAAAGCCAATCACAAGTGAATGCCGGGTGTCACCGTGAGCATCACCAGTGGGCCCACCTTGGGCCCTCGCAGAAAGATCAGTTCACTGAAAATGCAAACGTGGTGACACATGCTGCTGAGACCTGATGCACGTCTCCAAAGGCAAGCGTTTCCAGATCTGGGAAGCCACAGGGGGCTGAGTGCAGGTGCCTGAAGGAAGGCAGAAGGGCCGTGTCCGGAGGCGTACTCAGGGCCCCAGCCTCACTCTTGGTGGTGGCACCCACATGGGCACTCGGCGAAGCCAGGAGGTGACGGACGGGGACTACGCACACATGGCTGGCAAGACACACACATCTCCCGTTCCGGCTGGTTTAGGAGGTAGAACAGCCCCTCTAGTCTCAGCAGTAAGGGCCTCATGCAGTGCATGAAGCCACAGAAATGCTGCACAGTCTAAACCGAAAGAATGTGTACGGTTGGGCCCCATAACAAGACCGCTTCCTGTGCGTGTGGCAACATCACCGAGTCTGCAGTCGGCAGGACGCACGGCGCTGTCGCTCGGGAGCCGTGGCTGTTCTGCTGTCACCTGTGTGTGCATCTGTCCCATGGCAGGTAAAGGGACACCTGGGCCGTACAGCACACCCGCCACCTCTGTGCCAAGCCCAAGACCCAAGGGCAAAGGGCAGCAAGTTCCCTTGCAAGTGAAGGCCTCCTATGGGTGGCACTACAGCCCAACGCCCGAAGGGCCCTGCGGGCGGTGCCTCCTGTTCCAGTCTGAGCCACAGCTCCCCTGGCTTTGCACTCCCGGGCTTGCTCATGGATTACCAACAGTTCTCTGGCCAGGGGCTCCACGGATGGCACCACTCACGCATCCCTCTCCTGGGGCTCCCTGCACCTGCTGGGGGGTCCCTGGTTCTTCGTGCTCGGACCCGAGCTGGACAGCTGCCCTCACCGCCTCTCCCGTGGACTCTGGGAATCGGCACCGACTGGCCCATGTAGCCCCAGCCCTCCTTTCAGCCATCAGAGTGGGGGAAACCTGCTGAGGCACAACTCGCGAGAGCCAAGCATCAGGTGCCATTTCATCTTCGGCACTTGAACTACCTGAGACCTCTGCTTCTCTGGCACAGGCTGGATGTTCCTGCGGCACTGGAAAATGTGCAGAACAAACAGGTCCCCGGCGCCCCACCCCTGCAGGCACTTGAGACGGCTCCCATGTGACCTCTGTGTTAGGGAAATACCTGTTTTGGTTTTCTTTTGCTGGCACAAAAGATGGTGAGGCTTTAAGGAAACATTTCCGGGGTCACTCAAGTGTAGAGAAGCCATGGTTTGGATAGCCAGCTGAGTGACTCGGGGTTTTCTAGAACCCACGCTGCACCTGTATATATTGTTCCTGAAGGCGGCAGACAATGGAGGGAGGGCTGGTTCCTCCCCATGAGCAGCAGCAGGAAGGCATCCTCAAGCCTTCCGTGGCCGAGGGTCTCCGGTAACGAAAGCTCCTTTTATGTGCACCCCTCCACGGGGGTCAGAGCAAGGGCTCTGCGGGATGGGGAAGGACGGACAGGCCGTAGTGCACATTTTTACTTTCCTCCCTGGTACTCAGACTAAGCCTCTAGGACTCCAAATGTCCAACAGGAGGAAACGACAGGCACTAAG